CACCCCCACCCCCACCCCCGAAGTGTGTGTGTGTGCTCTTGTTCTTGTATCTTTGTGAGGACCAGTGTGAGGTCCTGGATCTTCGCTCTGGTCCAGTCTGGACCTGTCCCAGTCTCACCTGAGAGTCAAAGATTCAGACACAGGTACAAACAGGAAGTTGTGTCCCGAGAGATGAGGACAAAAAGTTCAAGATTCTGACTTGAGGTCAGAAATTAAATTTAAATCCCTTTATACAAGAGCTCAGATTTCTTTGAGTTGTATCTCCTCCAGTGAAGCAGGTGTTCAGGTGACTCTCAGGTGACTATCAGGTGACTCTCAGGTGACTCTGGTTGTTCAGGTAACTCACCTGTCACAGAGTTCACCTGTTATAAACAACGCTGTGCCTCAGGTGTCAGAGGGTTTCTCTCAGAGTCTGATCATCTGGACTACAGGTTCATCTAAAACACCTGGATCAAGTGTATCCAAACCACAATCAGGCAGACGACCAGAGACAGACCAGACCAGTAGAGACAGACCAGTAGAGAGCAGACCATCACAGACCAGACCAGTAGAGAGCAGACCATGAGGGGTTTGACTTGCACCGAGCTGACTCCGCCCTCTGGTCAGCGGGACTCATGCAGCTGGATCATTACCCAGACTCACCTCAGAGAACTATTTGTGAGAACTATTTGAAGACCAGGGACTCTCCTCCACAGTCACCTGACCTCAACCCCTCTGAACACCTGAAGACGGAGGACGCACAGCCCTCTGTGACATCACAGGAAGCTCTGGGCCATAATGAGGTCATGATGAGAGAACATGGGTCAACATGAGTCCATGCTGCTCATGTCGTTAAAGGGAAACTGCTCCGTGTCTCTATGTGCGTGTAATAATATAACAATAATATAATAATAATATAATAATATAATAATGTTAATGTGCAACAAATAAAAACTCAACAAAAATTCACTGATTTTTAGAAAAAACTAAATAAATGGAATTAAAATTCACTAAGGTTAAATAACTGGTATCAGACCATCATATAGGTTGAAAAATAATTATATAATTATATATATTTATTGTTGTGTGTGTATGTGTTTTTTAAATACTGAGAAAACTGTTTGGTTGGAGGCTCGTCATGTTGCTGGTGGGTGGAGTTCTGCTGGAGAATCTGGGTTTATGACCTCAGACACAGTGAACCGGGGGCTTTCGGGGCCCCGGGGCCTCTGCTGCTCCTGGTGTGTTGAACTGGGTGGGGTCTGTTGCTCCAGTACAAACGTAAACTGGGGGTTTGTAAAAATCCTCAGACGTTAAATCAGTGGAACAAAGAAACGAGGATCTGAAGTGAGTTTAAACTCTGCTGCGGTTTTTCTCTGCAGTCCTCCTCCTCACACTCCAGCACTGTTTGTTTCTGATTCTGGAGCGTTGCCATGGAAACCTGCGTTTAACAGCAGGTGAGGGGAGGGAGGAAACTCCACCCCCACCACCCGTCCGACAGCAGCGGTTTGACTCCTTCTCTCTCTGTCGGAGCACGGAGCCGAGGAGTCGGGACTGAAACCAGTAAAAGGTTCATGTTAGAGTCAGATGAACTGAGATCAGTGAACTGAGATCAGTGAACTGAGATCAGTGGAGGTTCAGAGCAGCGGAGACGTTCAGCAGCGAACACACTCACATTAACAGCAGCGGGATGAACAGGAGCCAGGACAGGATTCCTGTGTGATGGCGTCATGTGCAGCTGTATGTCCCCGGGGTCCAGACCCGGTCAGGACGGGTGGAGACTCGGGGGTGGGGGTGGGGATTGGGGGGCTGGGGGGGGTGTTGGCTCTGTGGGCAAGCTGAAGTGAAGAAACTGTTCCCATTAACTTCTCTGCACAACACACAGAGATGATGTCGTCTGCTCACTGCTCTGTTGTTCTTCCACTTTATACAGAATATCAGGGCCCCCGAGGCTCCTACTGACACCCCCCCCCTTCATCACCCTGTGCACTGTGCATGTGACCTGTGACCCCGTGACCCCGTGACCCTGGGTCAGACTCAGGATCGACTGCAGCTCTGTGGACATGAACTCTGGTCTCCTGTGGGAGAGTCAGTTTTAGACGCCACCTCCTTTGTTAATATTTTGTTCTCGTCTTCAACCTGGTCATCATGAGTCACTCTCTCAGGGCGAGTTAGCAGCTCAGAGAATCAAACGTTATCAGGTTATTTCATCTATAGATTTATTGATCACCTGTCAGCTGTGAACTCAGTTTAACAAAAAGTTATTTCACCTTTAAGGAAAAAACAAATCATGTTTAAAAAAAGTGACACAGTGAAGCTGTTGACGACACGAAGTTACTGCACTTAAAGAAAATACAGAGAATGATCTTTTATTATTTCTGTACATAAACGTCACCAACACCCACTTCCTGGATGTGCTGATGACTTTTATTTTGAAATCTGACTCTTGTCCTGTGACTTTCTTTGGTGACGTAAAACATCTGGATTTTATCCTCAACATTTTCACTTCCGTCATAAAGTTCTATAGTGACGTCTGTGTGCCATCCTCAGTCGTCTCCCTCCTCCTCGTGGTCGTGGGACCCGATGGGCTGCATGTCCGGCGGCTCCTCCAGCGCCTCCCTCTGGACGTGCTGGATGGACACCATGCCGGACAGGAGGGCGTAGCTCAGCATGGCGCCCAGAGCCACCAGAGCCGACAGAAACTGCTTCCTGCGCTTGTTGGGGACGTGGTCGAAGTCTCCGGCCTCAGGCTGAGGGGACGTCTTCTGACTGGAGCTCTCTGAAAGACAACATGGAGGACGGGGCTTAAATAACAAGAACCAACAGGATCCACTGGAGGAGTGGGTGTAAACTTAAATGAAACACAAGAAGATGAATCTTTGAAACGTGAATCCAACAAACATCTGGGAGCTTTTTCCTAAATAAGCATATTAATATGTTCCCACATTTTCCATTTTCTCTCCTCACACACAAACACTTTCCTGGTTGTTGACGTCTTCACTGAGACAATCTGTTTACATGACGTCACTGAAGGAAGCGAGTCCAGAACCTCTCAGAGACTAAAATGCTGCTGGACTCAAAACTTCAAACTTTAAATTTCTGTCAACACTTTGGTTCAGTTATTAATGTTCCACCAGCATATTATTGTGAAAGGGAAAACACCAACTTCCCCCTCCAGGTTTAAGACACAAAGTTCAGCGTCTGTTCCCAAATACAGAAACAGTCGGGTCAGTCGGGTCAGTCGGGTCGGTCGCCTCACCTCGGCCGTCTCGGGGGAAGTACAGCAGCAGGATGTTGGTGCAGAAGTTGGTCAGGTTGTCGAGGGACTTCAGATGCTGCTGCAGTTTCCCGTTGGGCAGTTTGGACTTCAGGACGGGCGCCAGGTGACCAAACACGTAGGCGTCGAGAGACGAAGGCCTGCAGAGTCACACACACAGTTTATTCCATCGCTCTGGGAACAGTTTCTACCAAAATAAAGGTATTTTTCCACATTTTTCAAATGTAAGTCGCAACATCTGGTAACTGGGAAACAGATATTTTAACATCAGTGGTTTAATAAACTGTTTTTACTGTATGACGTGTTTTATACTGTAGTCTGATGATAAATAAACCTCACCACATGTTTACAGACCACAAGCTAAATAATATCATTGTTGTTTGTTGAACCTGAGCTGAGTCTGAACCACTGAAGCTGATCTAGTTCGTCTCCTCGGTCCTGATGGTTCAGTATCTGAGTCCTGCTAACGTAACCTCTTCAGCTCTGACTAACTGTGGGGAGCGCCAGGTGTTGAACCTCTGTAAGGTGGTAAACCAAGTCCAGTAGTCTTTGACTTCTGGAGATCCTAACAGCTGGAGGACTTTGGTTTTACCTTGACAGGATGAGAGGATGAGCGCGGACGAACTTACGAGTCTCCGAAGAAGAACTTGTGTGAGCCGAGTCGCTGGGACAGCAGGTTCATACACTCTGCAGCATCACGGTACAACTGAAAAACACACAGACAACAAGGGTCAGAGTCTCTCAATCATGGACCACTCCTCAATCAGTCCGTCTACTTTCACCAGACTAACAAATGCACCCCAGACTTCACCTCCATCACCTCCTACAGCTCCTCCTGGAGGATCCACACAGGTCTCATTCCAGCTAAGGTCTGGCAGGTTTGTATCATCAGGTCTCCAAGGTTCCTGAAGTAGCCCTCAAAAGACCCCCCACAGGACGGGGTCAGGGTGTAAACCTTCTCTAAGTCTACGAAACAGGAATACTAGATTACCAACTCCTGTGACCCTCTAGTGTCCGTGGAGACTGGTCTTCTGAGTCTTTGTTGTCCCTCCTGGATCAGACTCTTCTTTCCACTAGAAGTTTTCCTTTCCAAAGGATCCTCAGTCCGAGTCGGGAGTTCTCCCCCCTACTGAAAACCTCCAGGGTGAATCGAGGTGGTCTTCTTGGCCTGTCGATACCCGGATCCTGATTCCAGAGTCTAGCCAATCCTAAAAGGTTTCCCTCTTCACCTTGAGGACTTTGTCCACCAGCAGGTTCTTCAGCTGCTCCAGAACAGGTGCTGGTCAAAGTTAAATCAGCTGACTCTATAACTGAGGCTCTTGAGGGTCGCTCAGATCTTAGTCCTCCTTGACCAGGGTCAGTTTTCCTGCTGTCCATTGTTTGTCCTCTTACTGTGTGCACAGCTGCTGTGATTTACTAATACTGAGGTAACCATAGAGACCAGAGCGACCATAAATAACTAAAGTGAGGAAGTAACAGATCCAAGGTTAAAGACCGAGCTGAAACTCACACTTTAAAAGGTCACGAGTCATCTGTTACATAAACCAGGAGCATCACTGAGGTCCTGCGGTGGTCGGCTCCTTTAACTGGAAGTCTCCACAGTCTTTATGACCACCGGGACTTTGAGACCTGCTGAAACCTCCAGCGTCTACAACCAGTGAACCGCAGGAACAAATTCCTCTCTTCAGTCCCTGAAACAGAGACTGAGCTGAGGTCACATCTCTTCACTACAACTGGTGATCTCAGCTGGTTTGACTAGTTCTGCGACTGAAAATGTGACGTTTTTCCTCAGTAAGGATTTACAGAACAGGCCGTGAAGTTAAGTCTTAACTCTGGAGCCTGAAAGTCCAACGTCTTCACCGTTTTCTTCAACATCAGTCCAGGAGGACATCCACATTTTAAGTTTCATTGAAACGTAGTTTGTCCAAAGAATCTTGACTGACAAACTTTTTTAGGGCTTTCAAACTTTTCCTGGTCTTCATCAGTGAACTGAAGTTGACCCAGCTTCCTGACCTGTCCTCACAAACGTCAGTCACTTAATAACAAGTGGTCACACGATACGAGAGAAACATGAAGCACATCCTCCAGAGACGAAGACGCTGCAGTGGAAGCTTCTGTTCAGCTTCTTCTCTGTTGGACAGAAACCGACCGACTCTTATTATCCTCCACTGGCTGTTTTCCTTTCATTCATTCTTCTCCCTGCATCCCCCCTTCTTTCCTTCTTCAAATTTCCAACCTGGCAGGTCTGTGCTGGGCGGGCGGGGGGGGGGGGGGGGGGGGAGGGGGGGGGGGGGGGGGGGGGGGGGGGGGGGGGGGGGGGGGGGGCGCCTGTAGTTTTCAGATCACACTGTGACGTTTGTAATGTTTCATTAATGAGCTGAATGGCTGTGAAAACAGTCAGCGGTTAGTTTTCCTTCTTTCCTGAAAAGTCGAGCTGCTGAAGAGTTTTCATGCCGACAGGAACAAATCGTTGTTTAACAGCCTTCCCCTGAAAGCTGCCTGACCTTTGACCTTTCTCCAAAGTGGACGGATCGTTCCATACCAGCGGTTTTCCAACAGAAAGATCCACTGAGGAGATTTTTCCTTTCCCTGCACATTTGTTCCAACCACTTGAAGGAGCAGCCTGAACACATGGAAACGATATCTGGAAAACTGTTGAGCTGCTGCTTGTTCTGAGCGACACTGAGCTACAGTCAGACCAACACAAGCACCACGTGCTGCTGACGCTCAGAGGTTCTGTGCAGGTCGTGTTTCCTCTTCACACCGAGGTGATCCGACCGCGTGTCCTCACCTCCTTCTCCAGCTCCTCTCCGGCCTCCAGACTCTCGTCTCCTCGCAGCAGTCGCAGTTTTTCCAGCTGCTGGCGCTGCATCCGTCCAGGCAGGAAGAAGTTCAGAGGGAACGGCATGTGCTCGGCGTACCAGCGGCGAGTCACGTCAACATAGTTCTTCGGTTCGATCCAGAACGTGTAGATCTACGAAACACAAGACGCATATTAAACACAGGAACAGCTGATTCTGTTTTTCTTGAAACAGCTGACGTCTCTGTGTCTCACCAGAGCGGGAACCAGTTTCTCCTCCATCAGAGAGATGAAGGCCAGGCTGTCGGCTCCCTCCTTGGCTGACAGGTCATAATCTGCGTTGTACTTCTGAAAAACACAAATCAGATTTCTGTTGAGAGAAGCAACAACAACCCCAAGCTCCTGAAAACACACAACGGAGCAGGGAACACACTGAACCTTTGAGTTTCAGCAGGTGAACGACACACGGAGAAAGGTAGAAGCTCATGAGCTGATGCCGATCAATAAGACGAGGTCTGACGCTTCAGGTGAGTCTCAGTACAGAGAGACTCAACAACACATGTAAACCACAGCATCATAAACACGTCACATGACCTGTCGCGGCTGAATCAACATATATCAACATTATAATTTTGATAAAGGCAGGATTCATATTGATTATTATCTATTAGTTTCAGTTCTAACAAACATCAGCAGCACAAACACTTTGATCAGGTGTGATTCAGTGAATCTGATACAGATCCATATGCTGTCAGTAAAAACATCAGGGTCTGTGGAATGTGTTGCTCACAACTATGGCGAGACCAACCAGAGAGAGAGAGAGTGTGTGTGTGTGTGTGTGTGTGTGTGTGTGTGTGTGTGTGTGTGTGTGTGTGTGTGTGTGTGTGTGTGTGGGGGGGTTTTATGGGCCTGCTGTATCTGTTTTGAACCAGTTCCATGTTTCCTCATTACTCAGAACCGACAGCAGCTGTTGTGAAGTGATGCATGCTGGGATCCAGCAGGAAACAAGAACAAGCTGGTGGAGACTGAACGCTGAGAATTTAAGATCAACATGTTCCTCTGACAAATCAGCTGATTACACGGTCTGTAAATCTGTTTGTACTGCGGTCAAACCAGCTTCTCTGTCCGAGGTCAATCCACCAATATCTGATCAATAGTTTAGGAGAGGGTTCATCCTCTGGAGAGCAGAAGTCCTCACACCAACATGTCACGTGAGGTGGATCTGGATCTGGATCAGGTGAGGTGGATCTGGATCATGGATGCTGGATGTGGTTCCGGGGGTTTCAGACTTCAAGCAGCCATGATCATAAAAGTGGAGGCAGCTGGTGCGTCATGAGTCTGGTATGATCCTGCTGGATTCAGGTCTCTGTTGAGTTTATAAGAGCAGGGTATTAGACTTCAGGATCCTGGGACCAGACCTGGACCCGTCAGAGCTGTACTGGATCCAGGTCCACCAGCTCTCTGTAGGTTCATGTTGCAGCTCCAGAGACGGAGACGCGATGGAGGGAGGAGCTACATGTGGGTCTCCTGCTCTTCATCACCTCCCTGAGTCTCTGTTCTGATCACGGCTCATTAATGACTAATTATTAAAATCATTATTCATGATCAAACGAAACATAAATCCAGGTTGACGACAGACGCTCCCACGTTGATAATGAGCGATGACAGAGGAAGATCAAAGCAACACGAGGTTGTTCAGTCAAACACACGCGTGTTTCATACATGTAAGGAACTTATCAGATATATGAGAAATCTAAACTGTGTTTTAAATGTATCTGACGAGCTGATGCGTCTGAAGCTTCATCTCCATCAGGCTGAAAGTGTAAAGTTTACCCTGAGGAAAGGTGACAGTGACAGTACTGAAGAAGGTCACCAGAGGTCACCAGAATCCTAAAGGTTCGCCCTCTGAGGAGCAGGAACAGCTGACTTCAAGAAACCCTGACAGGTTTTTAAGGTCTTCAGATGATAAAAGACAAATGAAGCAGAAATCAGCAGCTCGTGAAGTGAAGCTGAGTGAAGTCTGGAAACATGAAGGAGGAGAAGGAGGAGGAGGAGGAGGCGGATGAAGAAGAAGAAGGATGAAGTGTAACTGGACAGAATGAATGTGAGTTAATCTGCAGCCGAGCGTGAAGCCAGCAGTTTTCTCCTCTCAGCTTCCTCAGCAGCTCTCCTGTCGCTGCGGTTCCTGAACAACCTACCGCAGTGTGGAGGCACCGAGCATGCTGGGTAATGTGTTCCAGGTGCCTGCAAGCTGCTGGATGACGGAGGAGGAGGGCAGCGTTTGGCTCAGAGACCTAACTGCTGCTGAATGTGGGTCAGAGGGGCAGGATCTGAGTTACTGCCTCAGTTCCATGTGTCCACACTCAGGAAGAACTGACGACAGAACACTATGATGTCACAGTGAAGCTGACCTTTAACCTTTCAGATATAATGTCATCACTTCATCATTTTATCCTTTGTGTGAAACTGTGTCATGATCAGTGTTCAAAAAAGTATTAAAGTACCACAGTAAAAGTACTTCCTGTAGTTACAGTATCAGAGTAAAAGTACTTCCTGCAGTAACAGTACCACAGTAAACGTACTTCCTTTAGTTACAGTATCACAGTAAAAGTACTTCCTGTAGTAACAGTACCACAGTAAAAGTACTTCCTGTAGTTACAGTATCACAGTAAAAGTACTTCCTGTAGTAACAGAGTTCTACAGAGAACCGGTTCTCCTCTCTTGCTCTGGTCCTGCTGAGCTTTATGAGAATTATCAGCTCTGCTGGAATGTGTCTCTGGCTGCAGCTTCCTGTTGTTTAATGAGTTTTTCCAGTCGGCTGCAGAGCCTCCACACACACACACACACACACACACACACACACACACACACACACACACACACACACACACACACACACACACACACACACACACACACACACGGGTCCAGTTCCACTAAAACCACACTGTACTATAGTGGCACACTGCTCTGACTTCAACACCTCAGACTGAAGAGAAGCTGAAAACAAAGATCAGACTGGAGGAGGTCTGGATCTGTGAGTCTGGATCTGTGAGTCTGGATCTGTGAGTCTGGTTCTGACAGTCTGGATCTGTGAGTCTGGTTCTGACAGTCTGGATCGGACAGACAGACTCACAGCTCCACAAAGAACCAGACAACTATAAGAACACTTAGACACAGAGCTGTGGTAAACAGGTAAATTACACCTGTTGATTGTCTCTGTACGTGTTGCTTTGTTATTAATGAAGCGTCTCAGACGGATGACAAAAAGTTTTCTAATGTTTGTAAAAAAAATTTTTAAAAAAGGATCAAATATTAGAATTAAAATTCTTCTAAAATGAAATGATGTCATGTGAAGCAGCACAGTGAGAATGGGCTCTGCTGAATGCACAGGTGTTTACCTGTTTTCTCAGGTGGATGATGATCTCAGAGGGTCTGGACAGAGTCTCTTTCTGATTGGTCCTCAGAGCAGGAAGTGAACCTTTGAAAAGACAAACCCAACATGAATATGGTTGACAGCTTCTACAAAGAGAGAGAGTGAGGAGGAGGAGGAGGAGGAAGAGTCTCACCACTTGGACTCCTCCAGGGGTTGGAGATCTTACGAAGCTTGAGAGGAGCTCCTGCAAACTGAGCGTAGGCCTGCAGAGACAGACAGGTCAGAGGTCACAGGTCAGATACAAGCCAACTTTACCGTCCAGAGGAGGATGGTCAGTTACAGAACAACAGTGACAATAATAATCTACTCAGACAATCATAGCACAGTTATAATGAAGAGGTGAATTCACAACACGTTCATGAATGTTTATAAATCACAGCTGAAATGATCAGATTCATCAATTAGTCGATCTGCAGAAAATGAATCCACAATTACTGGGACGATCGATTGATCATTAAAGTCACTTCTGTCAACTTCTCAGCAGAAACCAGCTGTGAACTCAACAGTGACATCATCACACGTGTTGTTTCTGTCACCTGATGAATCTCAGTCCAGTGTTCCCTCTCCACCAGCTGCTGCGATAAAGCTGCACAACTAATCCATATCTAATCAAAGGCTCAATGTGGCCAAGTGTAATATCCAAATCACAGGAGCTGCAGTTTTTTTGATGAAGGTAAAATGTGTCACATTGTTGTTCATAGTTAGCATTAGCACTGTTAGCGCCATCAGTGTTGTGGAGCTACAGAGACGCCTCGACCTACAGATCATATTCTCCAGATGTAACATTATGATTTTTTTTTCTTCAGTGTAAATAAAAAAATATCATTTTAACTGAAATCACAATATCTGCCAAAATAACCACAATCGTGCAGCTCTAAATAAACTCTATCACTCAGTCACTCAGTCACTGACAGCAGTGTTGGACTGTGGTTGGTCCAGTCAAAACAAATATATGATTCACAATCAGCTCTGTTCAGTCCAGAGGCTGCAGAGCAGTGAACACATGAAGCTGCAGTGGTGACTGTAGAAACACAGCACTACAGAGACCAGCAGTCCACTGAGTGGTTGTGTGTGGTGTATAAATGTACAGAGCTCAGGGTCTGTCTGCAGGTTTCAGCTCACAGCTCTTACAGTAAACGGTGAGATGACTCAGTTCTTCTGGAAATAAAGAATAAAAGCTTCTCTGAGTCGAGAGCTTCACTCCGTTTTTACAACCAGGAAAAATGAGAAAGAATTTCCTCATAAATCTGCAGCCATGAAGTCAGAGTCTGATGAGAGTGAAGACGTTTGTTCCACAGACGAACAGACCGACACTACACACAGCTGTGTGTGTGTGTGTGTGTGTGTGTGTGTGTGTGTGTGTTGGACTGAGGGATGAAGCTACAGTCAGTCCACCTCAGTTAAACACAGACCTGCTGAAAAAGACTAATAATAATAATAAGAGTGACACATCCCGTCTGTTTTTAACCTCTGTGGATTTTTTAGACTCAACACTTCTGACCTCTGACGACCCGGACTTGTGTCGTGTTGACAGAGACACAGGAAGGTGTCAGGTGCGACTCAGGTGTTTGATTAATATGAATAAAGAGGGGAGATAATGTCTCGTCCTGTGGAGCCTGAGTGAAGATTCCACTCCGACACATACATTAAACCGTCTTTAACACAGGAAGTTGTTGGTAACGTGAACATTACTCCAGCTGTGAACGCCTCAGTAAAAGCCTCTAATAATAACTCAGACTTCCTACTGGAGACGGCACAGAGGGAAAAACACACCTCATCGTCCTGCTTCAGTCTGTCTCAGTCCAACAGCCACAGGTCATTAACCATGATGAGGTGTTAGAGGTCACTCTCACTTCACCTGTGCACACACCTGTACAGAAACTGACTTACCTGCTGTAAGTCCCTCATTATTCTAAGAGGAGACGGCCCCCGAGCTGAGGGACACTGAAACATGACTGTCCACAGACCTCTGGATATATATGATCATGTCTGATTAAACAATCAGTGTTGATATGGATCATTAAAGCCTGTCACTTAGATTCACACTGAGGATAAAACAGGAAGTGAACAGAACTGATCAGCTTCAGCCAGTTCTGATATTCAGGGTCAAACTGCTCTGATCCGGATCTGGACCAGTCTGGGTCCTGAGGCGGTTTAACAGAGGACACTCGGAAAAGCAGCTCTTATTGTGAAAAGCCGGACTTAATTAACCTAATTAAACCTTAATTAACTGAACCAGGATCTGTTTCATGAAGCTGGTTTAATGTGACGTTCACGGATATGAAACATGTCACAGAGTCACATGACCACAACCAGGTGATGTAGTCCAAAACCAAACAGCTTCTGATTGGCCGTCTGCTCCTTTGTATTTTAACACGTGGATTTAATTAGTTTCTTTAGTTTGATTTAAAGAGAAATCAGAGAAAGAGTTTCTGCAGCCGCGAGCCTCATGTTGGTTTTAACTGCTGTGGATCCACATGTGACTGACTCTGAACAGACTCATGTGAACTAAACTAAACCAGGACCAGGTGAGTCTGGAGGGACCAGCTCAGACTCAAGCTGGTTAAACTGGTAACCAGCTCCATGAAACAGAGCTGTGGTCTGGATCACAGACGCGGTTCTGTTGGAGGTTTCCAGACCCGCAGCAGATTCAGGTTCCTCCAGAGGTTTGGAAAAACCGGCAGCAGCAGCAGATCAGTGTTTTCCAACCACTGCACAGGAGAGCCATCATTACCCAGACTGCACTGCTGCTGCGCTCTCAGATCTCAGTCCAACACAAACATGTTTCAGTCAGGTTTAATCACTCACAGGAGCCCTGCAGCCCTGAGCGCGGTCTGCAGGCAGGATCCCCATACCCACACTGTCACCAGACTCTCAGGACCACATCAGTCATGGAAACACAGTCTGCCTGTGGCCCCAAAGCATTCTGGGTGGCCACGAGTCTGAGTATTACACTACAACCTACTTCTCTACTTAAAGGACAAATCCACTGTTTTCAGCCTGATTTAAATGTTGATTAAAAAAGATAAAACAGGATTTAAGAACTATTTTTTTCTTACTCAGTAATACCCTACTCCTCTAATCAGAACAACTTTATCCATCAGGGCTGCAACTAATGACTGATGTGTGCATTGTTTACTTTAATCATCTATTTATTGTTTTGTCTATAAAATGTCAAATCTGTGATAAATGTTATGATTTCCCACAGCCCGAGGAGATTTGAACCTTTCTCATAATCTAAACATACTTCGTTTACTGTTGTGTTAAAGCAGCAAAATCTCACTTTTAAAAAAACTGGAACGAAGAATTTTAGACATTTTTGCTTGAAAAATAATAATAAAAAAAAAAACAAAGATTATTGAAACAGATGCTGAATAATTTTCAGTGTCAGTTAATTGACTAATTGTTGCAGCTCCAGAAAAGAAATGGTATAAACTTACAGGTAAATATTAAAGGCACTAAGCTGTCGGTGAAAAGACACTGTACATAACAGTGTAAATATGTGTTTATTTATTCACCTGTTTCATGACAGTGAAGAATGATTTAAAGTAGTGGATTCACTCATTAACAAACTGTTTTTCTGTCAGCTGACAGTGGAGCTGAATGAATCCACTCAGTGTGTGTGGAGCTGCACGAGTGATCAAAGTGTAGTGTATTACTGCCGACACCGCTGGTCGGGACCCAAATCACCTCTGCTTCAAAGCTGCAGTTTCCATTGACAGGAATATACTGTTGTGCATCCTGCACAGAGTCAGTCACAGTAATCATTTAAAGAAACATGTAATAAGCTGATAATGAGACTTGCACGTCCTGCAGCTGCTACCAGCCCCAGGAGTGTCAAGTTGAGAAAGCTGATGAAATGTTTTTCTCCTCAGAGCAGGACCAAGAACGAGTTCCTGCTCTTGGTAAACACAGGCCCTGATGTTACTTGATGATAGACGGTAAGATTGTTCTTTAAAACAGGATTTAATGACTCAGCTTTAACGCTTGGTGATCAATAGCAAAGATGGAATTGATCATGTTTTAAAAACGACATTATGATCCATTTCCTTCCTGTGTTACAGCAAAGATTATTTTCATTGTAATTAATCTGCTGACTGTTGTTTCAATTAGTGAATTAAACATTTTGCCTTCAACTTGTAAGTAATAACAAAAGGCTGTTTCCCAAAGCTCATGTTGGTTTGATCAACAGTCCAGAACATGAAGATATTCAGTTTATTATCACGTATGAAGGAACAGCTGTAAGTCTTCACATGGAACCAGGAAACATCTGGTTTTTCATGATAAATGACTAAAACAAATAAACAAATGGAGAAAATGAAGAGTGTTCAGATTATTCAGATGATGTGAGAAGCAGAGTGAAGTCAGTCTGATGATCACAGCTGATCAGTCTGTGTGGAGTCAGTTTAAAGAGGCTTTGGGGCCACCTGGTGGTAGTATGAAGAATTACACCTGCACATCTGGTTTTTGTAGAGATGCCAGTCTGTGACCTCCACATGCAGAGCTGATGCTCAGAGTTTGTTTTTAAGACACTATTGATCTTCTCACCCCTTATTTCACAAAACTGACTGGGCACCTGTCCAAACCACCCCCCCTCATTTATTTGTCACCATGTATTACTGGTGCTGTTTTTGTTGTGATGATGCTCAGTGCTCATAATCTGTAAGACTGGACGGTGATAAACAGACAAAATTAAGTTCTGCTCAGAAACACGGTGTAAAAGATGTATAAACCACTATTTTATATATGCACTTTGTATGTTACACATGGTTGCACAACTTTCATGCTACTGTAAGCTAATAGCCTGTTAGCCAATTCATTTTCATGCTAACTTCCTGTTACACACAATCTGCCTAAAGTTCAAATTTTCAACATAGGAGGAAAATTCCAGACGGAGAGAAAAACAAGGTGTGACATTTCATTTCCACTGCTTAGTTTTGTGTCTGTAGTTCAATATAATATCTGGAGTGCGCCCCCTAGTGTTCAACGCAAGAAATGTCTTTCTTTACAGATGTATAGAAACTGATATAAACGAAATCAACTCTCCCACTTTTATTTAACTTCAATTTAGGTGGTGCAGTCTACAGGCTAACTATATTAGCAAAGTAACATTACTCAAATTCACTGTGTTAAACTTCCTGAGTTACTTTCTTTTTAATTATACAAATTCATTATTAACATAGTCGAGCCACTGATTTGAATGAAATAGTCTGTTAGCAAATTTGTTTTAATGCTAACTTCCTGTGACGTACTGCATACGGTCCGTCCGACATCCACAGAAAAAGTTAAAGGATTTTCAACATATTCAAAGCAAATTGCCGAAGTTTCACAAACACGTTCTCATAGGAATGAATGGACTACAGTTGACACATATTCACAGAGCTATGTGGACACGAAGCGTGAGACGTACAAATTTGACGTACGTAACCAGACGTTTGGTCCAATCGGCTTTCCGTAGATCTACAGCAGGACTGTTGTATCATAGCGAAGATGATCTGTAACTGTCACCTGTCTGTTACAGTTGGCTGGACCAGCTGAGTGTAAATCTATCTATTAATGTGCGACTTTATTTTTAAGAGGTGATAAACTGTCAGGTGCCGCCCGCCATTAAAAATAAGCGACTAACCGGTCAGTGTTTTAATTAACACACGGACTAAATAAAGGGTTTAATAAGTCACATGTCGCTGCTCTGCCTCACTGTGTCAGAGGAAGGTTTCTGTCTTCACTGTGATTTTATTTCATTTGGAAAACATTAGTTTGTCGTTAGTCTGACGGTTAAAGTGTCCGGTACCGGCCGCCGCTCTCTGAGCCGTTAGCAGCAGATAAACCCGTGTCTCTGTTTGAGAATGACTCTGACAAACTGCCGGTAAACAGGGCCGGGCCGGTCCGGTCCGGTCGGGTCCAGTGACGACGGAAACTCACCAGGACCACGAGAGAGTCGGTGCTGACAGACGGTAAACCCCAGTCTCCTTCCCAGCAAAACAACTCGTCCGGTGCCGCCATCTTCTGACCAGATGGTGACCCTTCACTCCGGAAGACAAACTCCCGCCGTTAACGTGCACTACCAAAATAAAATCCACTTTGTTTACTGATGATTAATAGTGGCAGAAGTACTTTTAACTTAAAGTATTAATACTACAATGTTAAGATACTTCAACACAAGTAAAACTGCAGGTATTAAAGTATCAGTAGTAAAAGTACACAAGTATCACCATTTCCATGAAGATAAAGTGTCAGCAGTAAAATATTCTAGTAAAAGTGAATACTTGTACTTTTACTGCTGATACTTTAACTAGGTGAAGCTGAGAACACTTGTGTACTGTAAAATATCAGAAACCACTGGTTTCATCTGCAACAAAACGTTGGATTTTATAAAAACCTTGGTGTTTTTAAGATAAAATCTTAATCAGAATAATAACTGTCTGACAGAGCAGTAAAAAGTACAGTATTTCTCTGAACATAGCCGAATAGAAGCGTAAAGTAGAACTAGAAAATTCCTGAACAAATTTTGAATGTGCCTGCTGCTTGGCGCGCATCCATCACACATGTTTCAGTCTCTACAGAGGACGTTACTCTGAGTTTCATTCATGTTGTAGAAATATCCTGACTGACCTCAGGCACTGCAGGTTTCCCTCACAAACCTCTTTGAACTGCGAGGACTGGCCAAAGTGAATTAAATTTGTCTCCACAGCCATAGCAAGACATGTATACACACATGTACATGCCCCAGCAGAAGTTGATCTGCAATAAAGCTGCTGTGATTTCTCCTGCCAGAACAGAACAACATGGACAACAGTAAAAAGTCTTTGTGCTAAGGTCGACACTTTCTATGAAACAGGACAAATGTGTGTAAACTGAGGAAGCCATGATGTGTGAAGACTGAAATATGTGGCCATGAGGACAAGTTACACAGATTTTTTTTTTTAGATGAGCTCTAGAGCTTCTCCCACTCTCGCTGTGATGTCATCAACTCTAGCCTCTGCTCGTTAAGCACAATACACACCCATTATAAACTCAAGAATCGTCAGAAAAAAGCATAAAACTAAAACTGTGATAAATTTAGAGACTGTTGAAGATATCAATAAGCTGAATAATTACTTAATAACTGAAAGGCTTGTTTACAGTTTAAAGGTTGAATGAAGTCTGTAGCTGAAAGTATACTGAAGTAGTAGAACTTCAAAGAGGCTGAACTTTTCAAGGATGTGAACATCATCTCTATTCATTTGAATGGCAACAAAATGTCATAAAAACCTAATCTGATGCTTCAGCATTCACACTAATAAGTATGCAGGATAGTAACACATGCCTTCAGTGCTTTTGCATTGCAGGCACATAATAAAATGGATATCCTAGAGTACAAATAGAGTTGTACTCAGTTACTTTCCACCACTGGTCCTGTTATAGCAACACATGAATATCAGTAATGAGTTGGCTGAGTGAGTAACACAAAAGCTGTGTTGCGTAAACAGTAACACAGTGGTGATTCACAAACACAAACTCCCCCTCATATTATATGAAAAACACAGAGACACGTCCATGACAGGAGCAAAACATCTACATCATCACGTCAGGCTGCTGTGTGTGCAGGGTGGGGGCGTTCCTCCAGCACAACGCCGCCACCCACAGGACAGTGTTGGTCTGCCACCAACCACAGTACAATTTTCTTAGTGTTTAAAAAAAGAGGTTAACTGTATATCCAGTGTATAAAGATGTAATAAGTGGTTTATTTATCCGTGTAATTATTATTATTTTTATTATTGTTGTTGTTGTTGTTAGATTGTCTTGTGTTTCTTCTTTTGTGTCTTATGTAAAGAACTTTGAATTGCCTTGTTGTGCTTAAAGTGCTTAAACATATAAACTTAATAGAATAATTGAGACCTGATCTCCCTCACTTATTGAATAGCTGTAGTGCTTGAGGTGAGGTGTTAGGCTGGAGCTAGCTGGTTAGCATGCTATCTTCTGTAGAAGAAAAGACGTGATAGAGACAAGAGTTAACAGACAGATGTTTGTAAGTGAATGAATGAAGTTTGATACTGAACTCACATTTTGTCTACACTGGTAAGTAAACAGCTGCTAATGCTAACGTTAGCTATGAAGCAAAACTTACAAATAGCTCCTTTAAAGCAGCTAACATGCTAACATGGTTACAGCAGCTCATGTTCATACAAATGACACAAGATGTGATTGACAGATTGTCCTCAGCCAGTAAACACTGAGCTCATGCTGTTTCCTTGAATCAGACTATTTCTGTTCTGTTGGTCACTGCAGGCTCATGTCTATGGTTAGTTACAGCTGGTTTGGTAAAATGACATATGGCCTCTGATGCAAACTAAGAAAGGAAAGCAACTTCTGCTTCTGTGGATGTCCAGAGTTCCTTCCTGTGCTACATCATTATTACAGTCTGCTTATGTTATTAATAGACTATATTTCAGATTTTTGCCTGAAAAACCTAAATTTTAAGACATTTAATCTAAAGATAAAATTACACAGGCTCGTTACATGGGTGTTTGTGTGTCTGTATCTGTCTTCGGCTCCAGCGACAGTGTGAACGCCCACGCCCACTTCCCACTTCTCCATGTCTTAAGTGTTAGATTGTGAAACACTTTTCAAGCTGCTGTATTCCAGTTATTTCTGCCAGTCTCTGGTCTTTCAACACTCATAATCACTTTTTTACAGTGAGGACGTCCTCACTTAGATTTAGGTTACAGGTGGTTTGTGTGTTTTCATGGAGTCATTAGCTCCCTTCTGTTTTAAACTCTGTAAAAATCCCCTGCTATGATTCATATTTAGTTTTTTTTTCAGTTTTTCCACATAAAAACTGCGTCTGAAGCTCATCTCCTCCTACTTTCTGGTTGATAAATATGGATCAGGCCTGGAGCCCCGCCCACCACCTGCTGGCTCCAGGTGGACAGGTGAAAGAGCAGAGAGTATGAAGATGGTCAGAGGAGGAAACACCAGAGAGACTCAGCCACATGTTTGAGCCTCAGTCAGACCCAGACTCAGAGGAGGAGTCTGTTGAGACCAGAACCAGAGACTAGCAGACGGATCAGAACCTTTAGCTAGTTAGCATCTTTTCATAACAGATAGCACAATTAGCATCTTTTCAGAACGGTTAGCGTAGTTAGCATCTTTTAAGATTTTAAGGTTCCTTAGGCTTGTGAAGTATGAAACCCTGATCAGGCATTTGCTTTTAAGTAAATCAAATAAATCTTTATTTACATGCTTTTATTTACAAAACTGCAAGATAAAGCTCTTATACAATAAATTACAATAAACAGTTGAGAAATATGAATGAATAATAAAATATTAAAGCAAGCTGATACATTCACAACCAGCACTGAGACTAAACTTAGCTTAGGAGTGTGGAGCAGAGTTTCGTCTCCATGGAAACACCCACTGAGCGTCATAGTTACTGTCGTATTCAAAGGACAGGGTCTCAGTCAGGTGACCATATGAACACATGAACAGGTGTATTTGTTTTGATGGTTCATACCGGACATTAACTGTTTCATAAAAGTGTAAGTTAATATGAAGCTTTAACAGTCTCACACATACAGATTTATATTATAAAATCCCGTTGAAGCTTCATATTAACGTCAGGTCCTCTGAGGGTCACCTTGGTGTCAACAGGGGCCCGTCTTTGTCCCGGGGCGCCTGAGGAGGTTGATCTGGCCGAGCTGAACAAAAGCACACACCTGCCAGGTGGACAGAGGTGAACATTATCAACAAACATCTGAGGTGTCCCAACACCTGCTGCTCCTGAGGGAGGGAGACGTAACTTCAGCCTCTGGTGGCCACTGAGCTGTAAATGATGGCGTCCTCTGCATCCTCCACCGGCCTGCAAACAAACAACAGTACGACTCCGTTACAATATACGTCCACACATTCAAAAAGCTGCTAACCAACCTCAAAAACATCAGAAGAAGAAGAGGAACTGTGTTTTATGGCAGCACCTGTTGTGTGTCCAGTGTTTAGTGCTTTCAATTCAAACAACATGATTCTGCTGACGTCTGTTCATGAACATTGACTGATGCGTCAGACTCTTGTATCCAGAGAGACTCACAGTGAGAACAGGTGTGAGGACTAAGTACCACGTCTATTCTGAAGGACTATGAACAAATCAGTGCAGATTCCAACAGAAAAAATCTCACATTTTTTCATTGGAAAAAATGCAGCTCTGTGTTCGGTTAATTTCTTCCTCCTCTGCAGACACAAGAGCCTCACATTCATTTAATGGAGAGATTCTAGATCTCAGCTCAGGAACCCCAGGAGGAGCTGGAGAACCTCCCTGAGGGGGAGGACGTCTGGATGATGGATGATGGTTGGATGGATGGATGATGGATGGACAATTCTTTGCTTTCATGTAAAATACTTTTCTATCACATTTGAAGTTTTTGTTTTCAACGTTTAAAAAGCTGTAAATCTAATGTCGGCGCCATCTGTACAGGTAAGTGTCAGTGCGTCCTACCTGGCCTTTTTCTTGTGTTTGAACTGGACGGAGGCGTAGCTGAGCTCCTCCACAGCTCGACTGGTTTCCTGGCGTTGACCTCCTCCCCCTTGCTCAGCAGGCGGCAGGATGTCGCTGTAGATGCTATCAGGAAGCTGAAAAAGGGGAAGAGGACAGAAGTAGAGACGAGCTTCAGAAGTGTTAACTTTATCTGGTTAAAATGTTCTTGGAGTGACAATTCGAATGTAAACCCATTTGATTTTGAAATGAATGGTTTCTATACAAAATCTAGTTCTATCTGTGAGCTGATGCTGCTTTGCATATTTCAGTCAGTGTCTAAATAAGTCTCTATAAATATGCAGTAAAAATACTTAATAACCAAAGTAAGGATGTACTTTCAAAGCTGTACTTAAAGCAAACTTTACATTAGTACAGGGAATCTTACACTTGGGGAAATTATACTTTAGAACAATTACAAATGTTTCCAAAATTGTTTCTATAAGTTTATTAATGTACAGCCTGAGTCATATTGCTGTGTTAATATATTTAGTCATTCACTAAAAGTACATTGTCCTGATAACTTTGTTAAATAAAACAGCACTTTGATATAGTCACAAGACACACACTGTGAGTAGATTCAGATATTGGGAAAATAAACTTGATTAAAACGATGTGGGTGAAAAATGATAAGTAATCATAATATAAAAATGTAACTCACCTTTTGTCCCACCTGACCTCCCATAGTTCTCTCTGCTGCTGCTGCTCGCTTCCTGCAAATACAACACAATGAAAATTACAACAACAGAAGTCAGAACAAGAATCAAACAAGTGTCAGTGTATCTCCATAGACTGAATATCATTTATATTCTATATGAATATAAAGGAGACAAAGTGTTGTCATATAAAAATACACTGATTAGAAAGATATCATGTAACTATGATTCAGCATCTCATTATTACACAAAAATTATTATAAGATACAAAAATCATAATGTGTGAAGTGTTTCTGTGCGTTACAGTAGAAAAATATTAATTCAACATTTCAATGATTTTATTCTTTTCAAAGAGAGAGGAGTTTATCTTGCAGGATTTGCAAACACAAGCTAAAGCTATGCTGGCTGGCTAACTTTTACTAGCTAGTTACATTAGCTAACATGCTAGGTTTCATAACAATCCTGCTGCTGTTCAAACCACCAGTTTTCACTAATTTTATCAAAACTAATCTTTACATGTCTTTTCCTTCTGAAAATAGCTGATGTTAGCTAGCTCAAATATTAGCCATCAAGCTAGCCTGTTAGCCTCTGTCTGCTAAAAGACTCACTTCTATCTTTATTATTGGCTTAATTTCTCACTTTGAGTTAATCAAACACAGCTTCTCCTTTCTCCTTTCTTTGCTAACAGCATCAACCGAACAGCTCTGACCTGATTGTGTCCAAGTTTCAGATTCTTTACTCGAGTAAAAATAATAAAATACTCCATTATAAGCAGAAATCCTGCAGTCAGTATATAAGTGATGTTTCTATTAATATCTTTGTGGTAACAGAGCGTAGAAGTCTGGTTTAAGTGTTACAACCTGTAGACTCTCCACTTTCCTTTATATTTTCTTATGAGATCGTACGTGACTCACAGCCTCTAAGATTAGCTTCAAGTACAGTGACAGACAAGAACTATGACTCAGTGATATCACAACATTTCATTTTAGGCATTTATCTACTATTGTACAAATATATTGCACTATTTTTATGAACCTATAGATGTTGATAAACCCCATTCCAAGCACCGAAACAATTCATCCACATCAGTAAAGTGTGTTTTCACAAGCTATTTGAAGAATTTCAAAAACCAGACTTCAATTTTTTAGCATTTGGGCCAAATGATCCTTTTGCACAGTGCAACAAAAAGCAGCCTCATAAAGAAAGAGCTGAGATTGTTCTGAGAATTGTGATATAAAACACTTATACTGACTGTTGGGTTCTGTGCAAGTATACTTTAAAGGTGAATTTAAGAAATAATGTAGAAATCAGGAAAATGTTCCCAGACCTTAATGTATGATTATCAAAAGTAAGATTATTCATTGTTGTATTAATTTTGTACATTTAAGTTGTTCTAAGATATTATAGATTAAAGCATTATTTGAAGTGCTATTAAACAACATGAAGCACTACTATTAAATTTAGTGTAAATTTAACATGTACAAACAAGTCATACCATCTATATGTAAATGTAATGGAGCAAAAAGGACAGAAGTAAAGTTTCCTTCTGAAATGAACGTCCCTCTGATGAAAAGAAGCATGAAGGAAATGAACTTATTCCAGCTGTGGATTCCTGATGTGTATTGGGAAACAAAAAGACTTCTTATAAAAACTTCTTATAAAAACCTTTTGATGATGCAGACGGCCAGGATGAGCACACACACAGCCAGCAGGACACCAAACAGCACACCAACTATCAGCAGGGTCACACCCCCCCCTGTAAAACACATCACATCAATACATTATATAAACTATTATATATTATCACTATACACTCTACTAAATCATTTACAGTCAGTAAAACAGTCAGAAAATTGCATCATTTCATTCACTAGAAGAAAACTTAAACATCAAACTGACAAAACTTTATCATTGTCTGCTTTTCAAAATAAGAGCATACCCTCACTAATACGACATCTACATTAACCCGTTTACATTTTAAAACAAAAAAATGATTTGTACACTCGGTGTTTCCAGCAGACCAGAGCTTGTTTTAGGACAAACAGTCGTTCACCAGAGTTCTGCTGTTAAATGACGGATTGAAGAATTTTATTCACAGACGTTGAACAGGTTCAGACGTTGTCTTTTGTCCGGGTGTAACTGTGATGCTGTGTTTTAAATGAAAAATATACTGAATGCATAAATCAGTTGAACAAGAAAGTCAGACTGAAAAAATAAAGTGTACATAATGTTGTATAAGAATCATGATGCAACAGTTGCAGCAACTTCTCTTTATCTCTAAAAAACACTTCCTGTGGAATATCCAATCAGCTCCATGCCTCATGAGTTGTCCTCAGTGTTGACCTCAGGTGACCTCATGAAGAGCGACACAAATAGTTTGCATGTAGACACAGCCTCATCCTCACCTACCCAGAGCTGACCAATCAGAGCCTGTTCTAGAAGCTGACAGAAATGACTGGACCCTGGTCTGGTCCAGATGTGGCCATCCAGATGTGGTCTCACAGAACCCCTACAACATGTCACCAGACTAAAACCCAACTACAAACCTCCGTCTGCAGCCTCCACCTGCAGCACGTACGCCACCGAGCGTGTCCCCCAGTTGGCCTTCAAACCACAGGTGTAGTTCCCAGAATCCTCTGCGGTCAGAGGGCTGAACCTGAGGGCGGGGCCAGACCCTGGGAGGAGGTGGTCACCTCTGAACCAGGTGACCTGCAGCTGGTGGAAGGTGCAGGTTGAGGTGCAGAGCAGTGTGACGTTCTGACCCTCTCTCGCCTCTCTCTCACTGGAGCTCGTTATTCTCATCGGAGAACCGTCTGAAATGGATTTAACATTTGAGTTTTACACTCTTATTATCTCTGACTTATCTCATATTAATGATGATGATGAACTTGGTGATGTTGCTCTTACCAACAACTGTGACATTCACTCCACTTCGTCCAGTCCAATGTCCTGCTGCATCTTTAGCCTCCATTCTGAAGCGAAACGTTGCCTTGTCTCTCTCCTGTACATTACTGATCTGTAAAGTGCAGTTTCCTGTCTTGTCTCCCAGGTATCTGTAGCGAGGGTCGGGGGGTTTGTTGGTCTTTGAATCACTGTCGTACACAGACGGAGTGGATCCATGACAAATCAGATGATTCTGGCACCAGACGACTCTGATGATCTCCTTAACTGGTGTGAAGGTGCAGGGGAGGGTGACAGTCGAGCCTCTCACAGCACAAACAGGAAGTGAATATTTCACACTTTGACCCACAGCACCTGGATATTTGTTTGAAGGGAGGGAATGAGAGAAGAGGTTAACAATAGAACCCAGTGTCTGGTTGTAAAACACCCCTGAGTTAAACTGTCTGTCTTCTTCAGTCACTTCTTCACTTCTGGCTTCAGATATTGTTCCTGGTGTTGGACAGATGATTCAGTGACATGACGTCCAGCTGAGACGCCAGCAGCTCAACACAAACACGATCTGGGTCTTTGCTGCTTCTGGTTCTGGACTGCTCCACGTCACTGAGGGGGAAATGAAATCTACTACAGACCGACTTTAGATAAAGAACGTCCACCTCCTGCAGCGGTCCAGTCAGAGCCCAGATTGAATCCAGTAGAGATGCTGTGAACTGCGCTGAAAAGCAGAAGTTATCTCAGTGAACTTTCAAACAGAGCAGAACTGTTTAGAAAAGGATTTACAGACACAACAGTTCACTCCAAGAGCGAGAACGACTGCGGCGAGAAGAGGCCGAAACCCAAGAGACGTCCTGAGAACTCGTCTGACTGAAGCAGCTCCATTAGAAGACGGCTCCAAACCTCCTGCAGCTACTGGGAGAACTGGTTTCACACCAGGTTCAACCAGTTATTAACTGCAAGGTTCACTGACCTACAGCCAAAGAGAACCTCCTGTGTTTAAGATCCAAACCCGTTCAGTGCTGACCCTCAACACAGCCCACCGGGTCAGGAGGGGGTCACAGTGGACAGTGTGGAAAGAAAAACTAACGTTATCAGACGTCCTGCAGGTCGTCAGGTCGCTTCATCAGATCTGCTGTTTCCGTTTGAGGAACAGAGAGAAACATCTGGACAGAACAGGAGAAATAAACAACTCTCACCACCTTTCACTGGGTTCAGTCAGCAAACATCTGGCTGTCACAGCTGGATTTCTTCCGGTTAATATGTTATAATGTCAAACTCTTCCTGTTTCACTGACACATTCACTTCAACAACAACAGTCAGTGTTTCAACTTTAACTTTAAGATAATTAGAGGTTACAATGAAAACAAACTGTAATCTGTGACAGTCAGATGTTTCCAGCTGTGGCTCCACACTGATCCAAAGTCTGACTCCTGTGTTCACTGACTCACATGAACAATAAAAGAAAGCGAGGCGTCTCTTCAGTCTCACCTGCCACAAGCAACAAGAAGCTCCAGAAAGAGTTTTTGTCCCACACTGCCATCCTTAGTTTGCTGCTGGTCTCTGTGGGTTCAGGATCAGATTCTGATCTCAGACCTGATCAGAGAGGGAACAGACTCAGAGACAGATTGTGAAAACTTTCTGACTTCCTTTCTTTTTTCCGAGAACGCTTCTCTCTCTCTCTCTCTATGACCAGATCAGTGTCTTCTGAAGTCTCACTTCTTTTACTGTCACTTCCCTAAAACCTCCGTGTCCAGTCTTTCATCATCATGTCATAACACCCCCCCCACACCCAGTTAGTTTGAATATTTATGATAATGAAGAGAACGAGCATGTGTGAGCAGGATGAAGGCCGAGCGTTGTCCAGCAAAAATAAAAAGGAGAAAAGGTTTAGAAAAGAGGAGGAGGAGGAGGAGGAGGAGGGGGAGGAGGGGGAGGAAGAGGAGGAGGAGGGGGAGGAGTCTCCTCAGGTCTCTGTCTCTTCATCAGACCTGCAGTAGGAAATGAATGAGTAATCACTAATAATCAGTTCATTGCTTTGTCATTGGCTGGTTTTATTCTCCTCTACTCTGATAGTTTGATGATGATTGGAAACTGAATGTTTTTGTCATTATTTTATTTTATTTATTTGTTTGATATAAACAATGCAGTTTAACTGCGTTTCAGACTGATGTTTACAGCTGTTCTGACTTGGACTTTTACTTGTGATGGAATTAAAACAGACAAATTAAATTACTGTTGTAATTAAAATAAATTACAAGTTTTCTGAGTCTTTTAGAGACAAAATGATTCACCTGTTTCGTCTGTGTCTCAGCACAGAGGTGAAACAAACATGACCCCCCCCCCCCCCCCCCCAGGAGAAACACTGTCAACACAGAGGAAGACTCCGCAGAGAGTTCAGCATGTGTCAGACCAGTTTGACCAGTTGCAGCCACTGAAGTGATGTCTGTCCTCTCCTCTGAGCTGTGTCCATGTCCTCTGTCTCATGAAGGAGCTGGTTGGATCCAGCATGTCACGTACTGCCGGTACTGGTGGCAGCAGCAGCTTGTTGACCAGCAGAGAGAACCAGTAACTGACCATCATGTCAGATCAGAGTCTGATCGCTGAGGTCAGCTTTAAACCTCCGTACAGGATCATTGATTATAGATCAGCTTCTGTACTGATACTGTGAAAGTATCAAAGCTTTGATAGAAAGGTTCAACACTTTCACTGAGCCTTAAAACTTTGTGATGTCACAACTGTAAAGTCACCGCCCTCAGCCACGCCCCAAGCCCCGCCCACCTGGACCCACCATCCAACCTTTTCATGTCCGTCCGTCTCAAACTCATGAACGTGATATCTCAGGAACGCCTTGAGAGAATTTCATTACATCTGACACAAACATTCACCTGGACCGAAGGTTGAACTGATCAATATTTGGTGGTCAAAGTTTAAAGGTCAAAGGTCAAGGTCACTGTGTCCTCACAAAACGAGTTTTTGACCATGACTCACAAATTCATTCACAAATTATGACACAATTTAACTCAAATGTCTATAAGGATTAAACAAAGTGAGGTCAAAGGTCAACTTTGCTGTGACATCATCATGTTCTTCAAACACCCAGGAAGAGGAGACTGTCACCATGTTTCCTGACACCTGTCTGGTTGGAGGAGGAAACAGCAGGAGGAGGTGACTGCAGTTTGTTGTTGTTTTAACTTTTTTAACAACAACACATGGCGTCATTCTGTTGCTAAGCAACAACGGCTACAAGTCAGAAAAGGCTGCTCAGTCACTGGACGTCAGGACGACCATGTATCAGTGAATAAACTCCACAAGGACAGAAATACTCCTGTTGGGCTCTCTATATTTCTATATTATATCTTTATATTTCTATATCTCTATATTATATATTATATCTTTCTATATTATATATCTTTCTATTTCTATATTATATCTCTATATTTCTATATTATATATTATACCTTTATATTTCTATATTATATATTATACCTTTATATTTCTATATTATATATTATATCTTTATATTTCTATATTATATCTCTATATCTCTATATTTATCTGTAAAGAGTTTTGAGATAAAGTTTGTTATGATCTGATGCTATATAAAGAAAATAAAATTGAAATAGCAGAGACCAGAGGACAGAGTTCACCTTTGTCTCTTCCTCTCCCTGAACAAATGAAGAAAAAAAAGTTAATTGTGTGATTATTACATTATTTATTTAAAATGATTCATTCATAACAATTTTTAGTGTGAATCCCAGAACGAGCTACTGGAGCCTAACGTGGTGACTTCCTGTAGAGTTGCATGGTTCCACTGAGGTACTGCTGGTTCTGCTCCCCCTCAGTAGAACTGTTGTAAACGTCCATCATGTATCTGTGCATGTCTGCAGAGACCACATGAGTCCACAGCCCCTCCTCCTCCATCAGCTGCAGCTCGCGCTCCAAACACGCCTTGTACCTGTCTCCAGACTCTGACTTTGGATCCACTCTGGACATACAAACCAAGCCTCCTGAAGAAAGACACAATTTTTATTAATGACATCATCTTCTGACAGAGTCGATGATGATGAAAATCTTCTGCATGAAGCTTCATTTAAACAGATGTTGGATTGTTTTCTCTGGTGGCCCCGCCCACAGTAGCTCATCACTCTGACACTGCAGGTCGGCTTTCCTAACTGGGACCGCGCTCATCATAATGCACTGTGGGTAATGTACCGGCTATATATGACGACCTCACACACCCCCATGTCAAAAAACCAGAACTGTCCCTTTAAGGCCGCACCTCCTTCCATACAACATAAATACTGTGAAATCTGCCTGAAAGACAAACTCAGGGAACAAATGTTCCAGAAGCTCCAAACTTCAAAGGTCACAGCTGCAGAAATGAAGCCAACAATTAGTAGAAGCTGTTAGAGAGCAGGTAAGAGGTGGGGGGAGGGGCCTCATGAACAGGTGACATTCATCAGGCTGTAACGAGCAGGTGTGAGCGGTTCGGTGAATCTGACTCTGTCTCCACACAGAAACTGCTTCATCTTTTATTCTATTGAATTTTAAATTGTGTTTAGTTTTTTTCTTCGTTCTTTTTGTTGCTGATAGTTTCTTCTTCTGTTCTAATCTTGAGTCTGGCTTCCTGAGATCACGTGACCGGTGTTGGTACCTGGTTTGGCGGCACAGCAGAGCTCCCTGACCACGCTGACCGGCACGAAACCGTCACGCAGCGCGCCGACGATGATCACCACATCAAACGCACCTGGAGACAGCAGAGGAGGAGAGGTCACCTTGTTGTTGTTGTTGTTGTCAGATATAAAACCTGACCCCTGGTGGTCAGCTGATGTTACTGGTTCATGTGAGTCAAGAACAAATAGGATCATCTTTTAATTTGTTAAACATTTCATACTTTGTGGCTTCCTGTTTTAATGAAACCCACTTTTATTCTGATGATAAAGATGTTCAGGTGTTCACAACAAGCTCTCTGAGATCTCAGCTGATGTGTGCAGTGTGTAGTGTGCAGTGTGTAGTGTGCAGTGTGTAGTGTGTAGTGTGCAGTGTGTGCAGTGTGTAGTGTGCAGTGTGTAGTGTGTGCAGTGTGTACTGTGTGTAGTGTGCAGTGTGCAGTGTGTGCAGTGTGTAGTGTGCAGTGTGTGTAGTGTGCAGTGTGTAGTGTGTAGTGTGCAGTGTGTAGTGTGCAGTGTGTAGTGTGCAGTGTGTGCAGTGTGTACTGTGTAGTGTGCAGTGTGCAGTGTGTGCAGTGTGTAGTGTGTGTAGTGTGTGTAGTGTGTAGTGTGTGTGTAGTGTGTAGTGTAGTGTAGTGTGTGTAGTGTGTAGTGTAGTGTGTGTAGTGTGTAGTGTGCAGTGTGTAGTGTGCAGTGTGTAGTGTGTGTGTAGTGTGTAGTGTAGTGTAGTGTGTGTAGTGTGTAGTGTGCAGTGTGTAGTGTGTGTGTAGTGTAGTGTAGTGTGTGTAGTGTGTAGTGTGCAGTGTGTACCGGTCTGTGCAGGCAGTGCTTGTGTTCCCAGTAAGGCCAGCCTGAGGTCCTGGTAGAGGCCGGTCTTGGCAGCTTGGTCCAACATTCCTCTGCTGCCGTCCACTCCCACAAAGAGTCTGAAGCCCAGTTCAACCATCTGGACTCACATGAAGAAGAAGAAGACGACCGGCATCAACACTGACTCTCTGACCTTTGACCCCACCTGTCACTGGATCGCTGTGACACTGATGGAAACTTAAAAACTGGATTCTGAATGAAGTTCTTACGGACTCTTTTCTCTCTGGAGCTTTATTCTGGAGTGACCTCAGAGATAATGACATCATCAGGAAGTGAGGTCACACTGAATCAGGTCTGTGGTTCAGGTCTGCTTCAGTTCGGACTCTGGTCAAATCAGCCAAACTACAAAACCTAACTTCCTGTTCCTGTCCACACCTGCACACACCTGATGAACCTCTGAACAGTGCGTTCTCACCAGCTTAGCGACCAATCCAGATCCACAGGCGACGTCCAAAACCCGAGCCCCCTGACGATCCCCGGAGAAGTTGGCGTTCAGGAAGTCTATGACCAGATGTGGCGCTCTGTAGTTCATCACCTCTGAGTCCTGGCGAGGGAGTAGGAGAGAAACTGAGTGAGTGTGACGAGGAGGAAGTCTGTCAGTCGACCCCCACCTCACAAACACACACACACACACTGAGCTGTGTACCTGTGTTACAGTCAGAGTGTTGTTAGTTGCAGACGATCAACTTTTCTTCACTGATAACCTGCAGGTTCAAACATCATGTGACATTTATCTGAAGCAGTTTCTACACATTTCATTTATGAACATCAGGACATTTAAAAACACTTTGAACACTTTTATCTTTTTATTAATCTCATTTTATTCTGTTTTAATTCATTTTATTTTAGTTTTCATTCTGTTTTAAATGTTATTTGATTCATTTCTTCAGTTTTAAAACACGTGAAACTGTAACTACATTGTTAATATACTGTGTTCATACTGTAGCAAAAGTGTTCATGTAGAAAAGTTGTTCAGTCAGTCACAGACCTGTTCATCAGGCTGTTGCATCAGTCAGTCACAGACCTGTCTATGAGGCTGTTGTATCAGTCAGTCAAATAGACTGAAGGGTCTGAGCTCTGGGGGGTCTCCATCCTGGTCTCCACCCAGGACTGTGGGATGTGGGATGATGGTGCTGGATCAGGGGGACTGTGGGTCCAGACCGAGCTTCAGACCACTGACCTGTTCGTACGTCTCTGCCCAGCTGTCGTAGAACTTCATCCTCTGCTGCGGACCGAAGCTTTTGCAGGACTGAAGGAGGGCCCTTATGTCGTCCACGTTTCTGCTGCAGCCTGACATTTTGCAGAGACCTTCAGACCTGCAGGGAGCAGACACCAGACATGTAATTAACATGACAGACTCTGGCATGTGGGGAGGAGGACACAGGGATGTAGAAACACACAACAGGACAAACTTGTTTCTGATAAGACGACTGTTCCTAATAAACTGATCTGATCTCTGAACGAAACTGCAGCCCCCTGAAAACCAAGATTTAAAAACTGAATTATAGAAACTGAAACATCAGCTGATCAACTGATTGACAGAAAATTAACCAGCAACAATATTGATAACTGATTTCAGTTATCGATCAATCAGAAGGCCTCTCTCTCTCTCTCTCCCTGGCGTCTCAGAGTAACTGAATATTTTCACCTGTTTCTGACCAATAATGTCTCAATCAATCAACAATCAAAACAATCATTAGCTGAAGCATGAAGCAGGCAGAGCTCACCTGTGTGGCTGGTTCCAGGTAGAGGAGTAGGTGTGAGTGGGGGAGTGAAGGAGATGGAAGCAGGTTTATCAGGAGCAGAGCAGTTCGCTGCTGATTGGCTGACTGGACCCGCTCAGACAGGTGATGCCATTGGTGCAGGTAATAGTACAAGTCAGTGTGGGCAGAACCAGCTGTAAACCAAATAGCTGTCGGTCACCAGCCTCCTGCTGCCAATCATCTCACCTGCAGGGAGGAAACACAGCACCTGGATCTGGACTCTGTTCAGGGAGGAGGATGGAGGACGGACCAAGACCAGGACTGTGAGTCCAGAGTCCGGGTCCAGATCCAGAGTCCAGTCTCTGGTTCGGGCCAGTAAAGATGGAGGTTCTTGCCAAATGTCAATAAACAAGTTGTTAACTGTTTCTGTATGAAACCAGACCAGGATCTTTAACCTGAACCAGGATCTGAGAGTCTGAACAGAACCAGGACACAGTTTAACCCTCTGAGGTCGACAGATGTTTTTTATTAACATCTCTATGATGACACAGCGTATATGATTTAAGAGATATGGTTAAATGTTGTTAGAATCTGTCGACTCTCCACTTTACGCTTCATATTCCTGATTGTACCTGAGGTTTGTTTTCACAAGGCATTTGAAGAATTAAAAAAACATGGGCTTCAGTTTCTCAGTATTTGGGCCAAATGATCTTTTTGCAAAATGTAATGAGTCAGAAAGGTTCTGAAAATTGGGATATAAACACTTGGTATTATGTAATACACAAGTACCTTAAGAAATAGAGAAAATACTTGTTCTGTGAAATCAGATACTTAAGAGGAAAACAAACATGTCGTCTGTTGAGTTCTTCTTTGAAACCAGTTGTTTCCTCCACGTTTTCGCCTGAGGCTGCGAGCAGCTTGTTAACATGCCAACAGAGACGACACTTCCTCACTCACACCCACTCCTCTACCTGGAACCAGCCACACAGGTGAGCTCTGCCTGCTTCATGCTTCAGCTAATGATTGTTTTGATTATTGATTGATTGAGACATTATTAGTCAGAAACAGGTGAAAATATTCAGTTACGATGGACCTGCGGTTCACATCTCTCCCTGTCTCTCTGAAGTTACTTGTAGATCTGTCTTAGATAAACAACAATTACCAGAGGGGCAGAACCAAGGGTGTGGAGGGCCCCAAGTCTGTGTTTGCCTGAGGCCCCATAATGACTCAGTCCACCCCTGCTGTGAACCAGCTTCCTCTGTGCTGTCACATCAGGCCAGCTGTTTGTCATCACACAATCAATTATATATAAGTACATATATGTGCATATACATAGAATAAAGTATATATAAGTACATATATGTACTATTAATTATATATATGTACATTAAGTACATAAGTACAGTAAATTATATATAAGTAGATTAAAGTACATAAAAGTACAGTTCCTGTTTATTATCTAACACTGTGATGATGCAGCAAAGGGGGCGGGGTCTCCACTCCCGCGAGGACCAGTCCACTGAAGAGGATGATGTAGAGATGTCTCACTCTGCTCACATTTCTGAAAACTGCAGAAAACAGAGTAAATGATATTTTAATCGTCTCATCGTCATTTTAATCATTTTTAAACCAAAAAAGTGAAGTATTTTCTGTTTGTAGATTCTCTATGTGAGGAAATGTCTGAAGCCCCCAAAGATCCAGATATCGGCACAATTTAGAATGACAGCTATACACCCCCTCAAACCTCCCATAAAGGCAATGCAGTAAACCCACGCTTCCCCTAACCCCCCTAAGTGGGGCCCCTTCTAGCTAGCTACATGTTTTACAGCCAGGTAACCTCTGTGGTCACCTGGGTCTATGATCCCCACTGGTCATACATGATTTCATACATGGAACTGAAACTCTGAGCTGTGGACTGTTGATGGGACGAGACATTTGAAGATTATAACAAGCATTTTATTTATTTTTACATAATATTAATTTATTAATAAAAATTGAAAATCAACAGATGAATTGATCATGTAAATCGCTGCTAGTTTCAGCTGAACCTCTGCACCAGGCAGCCAGCCTCTCTTTGAAGAACTACAACAGGGAGGAGTAATCTCCCCCATATCGCAGGTTGGAGTGAGTCATCTTCTTCCATAGACGATCTTGGTCAAGCCTCATCGCGAGCTCCTCGGCGCAGCCTCCCTGCATCCTCCCGCGAGCATCACTGCGCACCGAGCGGAGCAGCGACAGAGACACCGACAGAGACACCGACCCACCGAGCGGACACGGCCCCGTCAGCGGACATATGCAGGCTCCAGCTCCCGGATCGGCGGCTGATTTTCGGTGATTTCCCTCTGTGTCGTCGCGTCTCTATGGATGTGAAGTAACGGAGAGCAGCAGTCAGTCCGTGTCCTCTCCATCTCCGCGCGCTTCTCCCGCATCCCCGCTGCCCACAACCACAAAATGGCGGACATCATCGAGCTGGGACCCGCCTACGGTGAGAGCCAGGCCCTGTCTGCTTAATGTGTCTGCGGCTCAGCGTCGAAATAACTGGTTTAATTAACTGCTACATGTTTTTATCACGTTTATATCATGTTTCTAACACGTTTGTAGCAGGTGTATCAGTCTAAAACATCCTGTGTCAGGTGTCTACACCCAGTTAATGAAGCGTTGTGATGCCAACACCCGTTATTTTTATTCATTTTTTATTTTATTGGGCTTTTTTAAATTCATTTTAAACATAAAAACGTTCCGATTTCCTGCTGATTATCGATCATCGTCGTTATCAAATCGATTAACTCGATTTAAATGTGAATATTTGACAGCAGACAGGTTGGGATCGATAATTTAAAATCAAACATATCAACCCAGCTGTGATTTAATTAACAATAAAAGGAAACAAAGAGAAACCGGACGAAGGCGCCGCTGCATTATTACATCACTGTGATCAATCCATTAATAAAAATAACACCATCCCGTCAGACGCGGTAAACAGGGCGTTCTCGTGCTCCTACGCACCGTCTGCCTCTCGTGGGCCTCGGTGTGCGTGCGCGTGCCAATCGGGGTGGGTACCGGGTGACGTCATGTCTGTACCCTGCGCTGGGCAAAACTGAACCCGAAGCACCTGCAGATTTTACTGTTAATGTGACTGAGATTCACTCACGTTTAGATTTGAGATGAAAACAACCAACAGGACGACATATAAGATTTAAATGTGATTTAACAGGTGGAATCTAACAGTTTATTTACTCACAGCTCTGAAATACTCATTTACTTCTATTTTACATTTCAAATAAGTCAAATTAATGTTTACCTGATCAGTTTAATTTTGATGGATTATTATATGTTAAGATTTTAACAGCAGTGTATATAAAGTAATTGAAATGAGCTTCACCAGCTACAATATTAAAGTGATGAACACATGTATGAATCAATAATTATAATACAGTCATGAAATCTGTATGACTACTTTAACTGTTGGTAATATTTTTATGATGATACTTTTACTTAATTAAAAATGAGAACGCAGGACTTTTAAGGTAAAGTCTGAACACTGACTGTTAAGCAGTGTTTTCTCAGTATAATGTGGAGATGTTACACTGACAGATGGCAGCATCATTTTCCCTCATTACTTTGTTTATTTTATGGAACAAATCTAAAGATAAAACAGGAAATAAAGATGAAATGGGGTTGAGTTACACACAAAGTATATTTACTGAAGTATTTTGTTTTTAATCAGATTTGTACTTGTACGTGAGAAATACTGCTCTTTTTACTGCATTACTAAATTAATATTTTTACAGATGAAGCATCAAGATCTAATACGATATTCTGCTTTATTAAAGGTGAACTGATTGGAGGAAAATTAATTTGCATTATTATTTTTTATGTAAAGATTTCATGGCTCCAGCTTCTCTCATGAGAGGATTTGCTCCTTTTCTTTGAGAATAATTTGAATAATTTATTTTCAATCGTGTTGAGGTTTGGACTGTTGGTCGGAGTAAACTCCTGATCTTACAGTAATGAATTAATAATAACAATTTAATGATATAAAAGTACAGAGTGCTGTTAGTGACTTCAGTAATAACAGCAACGCAACTCACACACAGCAGCAGTGTAATCAGCTGACTGACCTTCACTCCAGGAAATAACCAGCACCTGAAACGACAACAAGCAGAGACTTTAATGAAGTTTAATTAAAGGGAAAGAATTAGTTTAATTTACCTTTAACATCTGAGGAACAACAACAACACAAACACCTGTTCAGAGTGTGTGTGTGTGTGTGTGTGTATGTTTGTCTGATCAGAACACAAACTGTTGAAGCTCTGAGTTTTTCAGTTTTATTAGACAATTAATGGATTGGTTGATTAACAGAAAACTAATCTACAATAATTCTGATAATCAATGAATTGTATTGGGTGTGTGTTTTGGACTGGAACGTGGACATTTGTCTCTGTTTTCTAACACTGTGGAGCAAACTGTCAGAACCACGATCAGATCAGAGGTGTGTGATGTGATAGAACAGAACAGGGAGTTTTTAGATCAATCGATTAATCAATTAATCAATGAGGAACCTTGTCGATGACCTGATGTTATAAAAACATTCAGTTTTGTGAATTGATTGTTCCTTCATGTGATTCAGGCTTCAGTTCAGATTCATGACACGTCAGACTACAGCTGATCATTATTTTCATCATCTATTAATTATTATTGATTAACTGATCGATCGTTTGGTTTACACAGTGTTAGAGAATAGTAAAAAATCATAACAAGGCGACGTCTTCAGATGTTCAACAGTTTCAACTCTGTCATTAATGAGTCCCTTGTCCTATTGGCTCAAATCCAGCCAATCAGAGGAGCTGCTGCTGGATGTGATAAATGATTATTACAGATCAGAAACTGACTGTCAGAGGGAAGCCTAACCAGCTCAGTGTGTGTGTGTGTGTGTGTGTGTGTGTGTGTGTGTGTGTGTGTGTGTGTTGCTAGGCAGCGAGCTCCGCTGCTTTCAGCTCTTTCCAAAACATGAGCTCATCTGATGCGGCCTGAATGAAAAGCCACAACAACAGGACTGAGGGATTGTGGGAGTTTGGTTGTGATTCCTGCAGATGAACGTTAACGTTATTTTATAATTAAGTGTGTTAATGAGAGCAGCTGTTTAACATCTGGACAGAGTCACTGTTGTGATGTTTATTTGTTGTTTGTCACATGACAGGGAATTGAAGATCTCTCAGCTCTGGTCTGTGGGAAACTATAACAGCTGTTATCAATCAATAATACAATTAATTGATTAATTGAAAAAATAATCAGGGAGGATAAAAGAGAGAAAGAGAGAGAGAGACTGTGGGGAAGTAAATTAATTAATTCAGAGCGGTGACACAGTGAGCAGGTCATGTTGTCTTCACTCTCAACAAACACAAGCAGCCAATCACAGCTCTGTCCTCACCTGGTGTCTCCACTGAAACCTCTGAGTGCAGACAGGTGCAGTGTCGCCCTGACACAGGTATAAACCCAGCTTCACGTCGGCCTGTGCTCTGACTGGGAGCGGTGGCTGGTCTTTCTCTTCTATCAGACGACTGTAACGACTGTTTCAGGATCAGTGGAGCTCAGGGAATGTTTTCTGTCAAGGTCCCCACAAGATTAGAATAGGGTGTGTGTGCATGTGTGTGCATGTGTGTGTGTGTGTGCGCGCACGTGTGTGTGTGTGTGTTGTAGCATCAGTGTGTCCTTGTGGGACAGATCAGGACAACAGTGCTCCTCTGTATGCAGCAGACAAAGACTTCTACTACCCCTCCTCCTCCTGCTCCTCTTTTTTCCTCCTCTCAGGCCCCCCCCTCCCTCTCCCCCTCCCTCTCTCCTCCCCCTCCCCCTTCTCTCAGCAGGGATCACTTCAGTTACAGTCTGTTTCTAATGAGACCTCTGGAGGGATGATGTTCTGACATCACTGTTTTTACACGATGTTACTGTTTATAAATATGATGTCATCGTGTTATGACATCACTGTTTTTACGTGATGTTACTGTTTATAAATATGTCATCATGTTATGACATCACTGTGTTTTCACATGATGACATCATTAGTGACTCAGCATGAGACCCTGTTGTACTGCGCCAGTGTAAAATACTGCAGTGGTTTTCATTGTTAAACCCCAGGTGTGTAAGGAGTGCTGTCCAGTTGCATCATGGGAAATGTAGGCACCAGTGTTTTGACCCATAGTTGGGACTAAAGTTCAGGA